GAGGGACAGAGAGGAAGCTTTTCTGTCTGATGACTCACTCCCCCAAGCAGCTGCAGTGGCTGGAGCTGAGCTGATTTGAAGCCAGCAGCCAGGAGCTCTTCTGTGTCTCCCACACAGGTGCTAGGTCCCAAGGCTTTGGGCCATCCTTGACTGCTTTCCCAGGCCACAATCAGGGAGCTGGATGAGAAGCGGGGCTGCACCCATATAGGATGCCGGTGTGCAAGGCGAGGACTTTAGCTGCTAGGCTACCACGCTGGGATCATATTTGTTGTGTTTATTTGAAAGAGTTTCGTAGATCTTCTGTCTGCTGGCTCTGTCCCTAAATGACCTTAATGGCTGGTACTGGACCAAATCAAAGCTAGGAGTCCAAATATTGGGGCTATCTTCTGCTAACTTCCCAGGTACAGTAGCAGGGAGCTAGATTGGAGTTGGAACAGCCAAGAATCAAACTGATGCTCATATGGGACAAGCTTCCCAGGGGACAGACTAACGCTGTGCCACACACCAGCGTTTCCAAAGAGGAAAATTTCAAAATGACATTTAGGGGTGGGTGTTGGGTACAGAGTTTAAGATGCCCCTCAGAATGCCTGAATCCCACGTTGGAGTGCTTAGCCCCGGTGTGACCCAGCTTCCTGATAAGGTGCACCCTAGGAGGCAGATGCTTGATGTGTCTGAGTCCCCGCCATCCTTACAGGGAGACTCGATTGAATTCCAGGCTTCTGGCTTTCGCCTGGCCCAGCCCTGGCTGCCGCAGCAACACGTGATACATCTCAGTTTGCCTCTGTCTGGCTTTGGAAGTGAATCAGTGTGGTCTCTGTCTCTTTGTTCTCTCTCTCTCTGCTTCTTGCCTTTCAAATAAAATAGTTTTAGAAAATCAATTCACATTTATTCAGGCTGTGTACGTGTATATTTAAGATTTATGTATGCATGTATGTATTTATCTGAAAGAGAAAACAGAGAATGAGAGACAAAAGAGATCTTCCATCTGTCTGTTCATTCCCTAAGTGGCCACAGTAGCCAGGTCTACACCGGGAGACCGTCTGGGTCTCCCACATAAGTGGCAGGAGCCCTAGTGCTTGGACTTTCCCACGTGTCTTAGCAGGAAGCTAAATCAGAAGCAGAGCAGGAAAGTCTCAAACCAACACTGTGATGGTGCTGCAGGTGCTAGATTACTCTGTGCTGCGCTTAAAACCCTAGCCTGAGATTTTGGCATCATTCACTGAAAGAGTAAAAAGAAGTGTTCAAGGCAGTGTCTGTCCCAGCAGTTGAGAAATCTCCCTGAGCACTTGTACTTTATATTGAAATGCTTGGGTTCAAGTTCCAGCTCTACTCTTGGTTCCATTTGCCTGCTAACATGCATCCTGGAAGACAGCAGCTTGAGTAATTGGCTTACTGCCACCCAGGTGGGACCTGGACTGAATTCCTGATTTCCAGCTCTGTGTGGGCCAGCCCTGCTGATTGCAGACATTTGGGGAGTGAATCAGTAGATTGCAGATATCTGTCCCTGTGCTTTTCAGATAAAAAGATTTTTAAAAAAGGTTTATTCTTTTTTAGAAGACAAGCTTACAGAGAGAAGAAACTGAGATCTTTAAATCTCTGATCTGTGCCTGGCATGACGTTGTAGCGGTTAAAGTCTTTGCCTTGAATGTGCCGGGATCCCATATGGGCACTGGTTCTATTTTTTTGTTTTTAATTATTTTTTAATAATCTTACTTAGTTGATTAGGGTACAAAGAGTCAAGGGCTACAGGGTGAAAGTGGGTAACACCATTGTTTCCACACTAATATTATCATTTTTCCCTATATCTCGGGTCAGGGGAGAATCTAAGGGAAAAGCCCCACCCAGCCTCTCACCCATCCCAGATCCCCAATGTGAGGCAAGCTCTGAGGGTCCTAATCAAGCAGTTTTGATAGTTCAACAGTTCTGGATTGTTGCCAATCTCACCGTCCAATCGCAATGAAACCTATTCAGAGTCCACTGGCTGACAGTCTCTTCAAGGTTGAGGTTCTGAGATCAGCAGTTAGTTGAAGGGATCTCCAAAGAAACTTCTTCTGAGATGTTCCCAGACCTGATTCTTGCGTGAGTTTGCTAGTACAGACTCCAACACCGTCCATTGTGCCAATCAGCTTATGCACATGCTGGTCGTTGCTATTGCTGGGTCAATTCTGTTTCCAGCCCTGTCTTCCTCGTGAACCAATGGGTGCTGTAGTACAGCTTGATCCTACCCACTTCATACTTAGTCCTCATGCAAACCAGTGGGAGCTATAGCCTAGTAGGGGCGACTCTTGAGCACTGGTTCTAATCCTGGCAACCCGCTTCCTATCCAGCTCCCTGCCTGTGGCCTGGGAAAGTAGTCGAGGATGGCCCAAAGCCTTGGGACCTGCATCCGTGTGGGAGACTAGAAGAAGCTCCTGGCTTCAGATCAGCTCAGCTTCAGCCGTTGTAGCTGCTTGGAGAGTGAACCATCAGATGGAAGCTCTTCCCCTCTGTCTCTCCTCCTCCCTGTATATCTGCCTTTCCAATAAAAATAAATATTTTTTAAAAATCTGATCGGTGGTTCAGTCCCCAAATGGCTGCAATAGCTGGAGCCGAGTGTATCTGAAGTCAGGAGCCCAGAATATCTTCTGGGTCTCCCATGCGCGTGCTGGGGCCCAGGATCTTCCTTTGCTGCTTTTGCAGGCTCATCAACAAAGAACTGGATCAGAAATAGAGAAACCAGGAATCAAACTGGCCTTATTATGGGATTCTGGGTCATAGGCAGTGGCTTAGCCTAACCGTTAGCAGGTAGATGGATCAGAAGTGCAGAAACAGAGCAGGCATTGGCACAGTGCCTTATTGGGCTCATCCTCAACCTATAGTGTGTATATCCCATAGAGGTTCCAGTTCATGTCCTGGCTGCTCTACTTCCAATTCAGTTCCCTGTTTATGTCCTGGGAAAGCAGTAACGGATGGCCCAAAGCCTTGGAACATTGCACTTGTGTGTGAGAGACTTGAAGAAAGCTCCTGGCTGCAAATCAGCTCAGGTCTGGCCATTGCAGCCATTTGGGGAGTAAACTGACAGGTGGAAGATCTTTCTCTCTCTCTCCTTTTTGTACATCTGCTTTTCCAGTACAAATAAATGTTAAAGGGCCTGGCGCAGTGGCCTAGTGGCTAAGGTCCTTGCCTTGACCATACTGGGATCCCATATGGACGCTGGTCCTAATGCTGACAACCCTGCTTCCCATCCAACTCCCTGCTTGTGGCTTGGGAAAGCAGTCAAGGTTGGCCCGAAGCCTGCACCCTGGGAGGGAGACCTGGAGGAGGTTCCTGGCTCCTGGCTTTGGATCAGCACAGCACCAGCCATTGCAGTCCCTTCATTGGAAGGGAAATATTTCTCTGTCTCTCCTCCTCCTCTATATCTGACTTTGCAATAAAAATAAGTACATCTTTTTTTTAAAAAAAAAAAAAAGTGGAGCAGTCGGGACTTCAATCAGTGCTCATAAGGATATTGGCCTCATAAGCATTGGCTTAAGTTGTTGCACCAGCATACCAGTCCCTGAGAAGAGAACGTGAAGAAAGGATGGAGGAATTAGAATGCTAAGATAGCGCCTAGCACAATAGCCTAGTGGCTAAATTCCTCGCCTTGCAACCTCCAGGATCCCATTTAAGCCCTGGTTCATGTTCTGGCTGCTCCACTTAAAAAAAAAAAAATGAACAAAGAAACAAATAAAGTAAGACTTTAAAAAAAAAAAAAGAATGGTAAGATAACTAGTAGACTGTAGACTTTCCAATAAAAATTAATAAATCTTTAATGAAAAAAAGATAGCCAGTGTACTTTCATGTCAAGGAACTTTTACTAAGGAGCACGAGGTTGGGATTAATACCGTGCTGTTTTATAAAGGGTTTCATGTTGATTTCAGTGGCCATTAGCTGTTTTCCTTGAAATCAGTATGTAATTATAGTATTTAGTGATACAAAGCATGGTTTAAAAGCCCTTTACATTGTAAGAGGGTTTTGTTTTTGTTTTTTAAAATTTGTCCATTTTTATTGGAAAGGCAGATTTACAGAGAGAAAGACAAAGATCTTCCATCTGCTGGTTCATTTCCCAAATGGTTGTAATGGCTGAAACTGAACCAGTTCAAAACTAGGAGGTTCTTCCAGGTCTCTCACATGGGTCAAGGGTCCCAAGGCTTTGGGAATTCCTCTCCTGCTTTCTTTCCCAGGACATAGCAGGAAGCTGGGTGGGAAGTAGAGCAGGACACAAACTGACACCCATATGGGATGGCGACACTTGCAGGCAGAAGAGTAGCCAACCGAGCCACTGTGCTGGCAGCAAGGAGATTAAACAGTCTCCGATTCCCACAATTTCCCTGACTTAGGTGATGTCCCTAGTAAATGAGGAAATTGTAGCTCTAAAGCTGACTTGACCAGTGACACAGTTCACACTGCAATCTTGGGTTTTATGACACACAATCTCTCTGTAGGAGGACGGTGTGATCCTAGAAGGTCAGTGAGCACAGGATTACAGTTCATTGGACAATATTTGCATGAGAACAACCAAATGGCTGCCTTTTGTATCCCTGATGGGATATCATTTGAATGAGAACAGTAGAGTGGAAAGCATGTGTATGAGAACACTTGCTGGAATGTACAAGACTAAAGGAGTTCCAAACAAAAGCATAGAAACAGTTGATGGGTTCAATATCTCCACCCTTATCCCATATGACCCTCAGTGTATAAAGTCTGAGGCCACTAATAAAATTCGGCTATTGATCATCAGTCCATGCATGTTGTTATCGGCTCCGTGCACCAAGTCCATCGCTGCAGGACAGTGACACTCTCGATTCTCTTGTTGACCTAATCAGATGAGAAGCTTCTTCAGGCCCGAAACTAATTGGTTACTTCTTTTTGTCCTTTTAACACTTAGTTCAGTGCTGAGACTGTGTGTTGAAGCTAGACTGAGCGAGGACTGGCTGGCTGCCCTCCAGAGTAACCTGCCCTTTCTTCCTTCTGCCCTCTAGCGCCCTCACAAAGCCAATGCTGAGGAGATGACCAAGTACCACAGCGATGACTATATTAAATTCTTGCGCTCCATTCGTCCAGATAATATGTCGGAGTACAGCAAGCAGATGCAGAGATGTAAGTCTACTCCGGTCCTCCCCTGGCTGCAGCTCCCCTTCTTGGGGGAGAAGCCCACCCTCCCTTCTTTGGGCCTTCCATCCGGTTGACAACTGATTTCCTTTGGGAGTCAGGCGCTTCTTTTTTCCTTTAAATCTGGTTTTCCTTGTTTCCTGACTGTGCATAATAGCAGTTGGTCTTTGTCCACTGAGGTTCATGACACTGTCCCTAGGGGATTGCAGCTACTGCTATGGGGAAAGTACTGACCTGGGACTGGCAGCAGCAGGTGCAGGACCCAGTTCTAGTCACTTTCTCTCTCGCTTGTCTTCTGTGAAGGGGCCAGGCAGTGTGACCCCTCACTGTGGCCCAGCTGTAACTGCTCTGACTTGCAGTGCAGGGTGAATGCAGAAGCCATTTGACTCCCAAATGAAGTGATGAGCTGAGCTGACATGAGGGGATTCTGTTCCCACTTCTCATGCTCTGGAGTTTGGAACTGGTGCAATCTCAAAAGCCATTTTCACTTCGTGAAACTCTTAGGAATTATTTGAGCCGTGGGGAAACAAATTGCTTTCTTCCAAATTTACAATAAGTACATCACACCTGACTTCTCGCTTGTGTTAATTTACGAATTATGTTTTTGCATCGAAGATTTATTCATGCAATAAGACAGTGTGACATTATTGCAGGGGCTTTGATTGGCATATGACAGTATCTACTGAAATTCCAGGAAATTTTACGGCATTTGCTTATTCTTACTGGCGACCGAGCAGTGTGGTCTCCAAGTGGGATCTTTATGAGGTGTACAGTAAGCATCCAGGCGGTGCTGATGACGGAGCGATGTTCCCCTCCTGGAGGAAGTGTGGATATGCTGTGCTTGCTGCAGCTCCAGGACGATAGCCCGTCCAAGCAGTAACTTTCCTTTCTCAACTATCTTTGCTTCCTTCCGAGGGGACACAGATTTATTCCTTTGCTGTTGGTGGCTTTGGGGTTTAATGTAATCTTCTGGAGCCAGGGGCCAAATCTCCCTCTCAACAAATTTTGATCAGAGGTGCAGCCTGGTATTGAAGCAAGAGGATGAATTTCTGTGTCTTAGTTTTGTTTTATTTTCATTTTTTGTCTACATGAATTGGCAGTCCCACAGAGGCAAATCCACAGGCTCCCTGCAGAGTTTGTCCCCACATCTGGTTCTTTCATGTTTTGGGAATGCTACAGTCAGCAAGGCGTGCTCTCCTAGCCCTGCCTGTTGAGTATGCCAGCAGGCTGCAGGTGATACTCTTTAACCCAGCCCAGGTCTCCCACATGGGCGAGTGCCTGCCTTGGCCTGACCTGGACATGCCCCCTCTAAACCACCCTCTGGTCTCCCCTCTCTAAACCACCCCGTGTCAGCTCCCTTGTCTACCTGCAAGTGCAGTGGCATAGTCCATGGAAGCCTCCGGAAGTCAAACATGCCCTCAGTGGCCCCAGGAACAACACATCCTTCCCAGGTGATCCACAGTGTCCCCACTCCCCTACACCTTCCTCCTGCCCATGGTAGTACACGCGTGCCTATGGGCAGGGGTGATGTGTTCCGGCCTCCCGTTCCCCACCTTCTGCTATGTGCTATGCAAAGTTCTCTACTTATCTTCAAAGAAAATTGGGGGGGAAAAAACCAGAGTGAAGTAGGCAGCTATGCTGGCACACTGGCATAGTTAAAATTGATTTGGCATTAACCAGCCCCAGAATGCCCAGCAGCTGTTGGCTGCTTTTCTCCTAGCAGTGTAACATTTGCTTAGGTACAAAGCATCTTAGGCAGTCACCTCTAGCTGGGGATGTATCTCTTTCTTCTCCCTATCTTTTTTTCCTTCTCTGCCTCTCAAAAAAAAAAAAAAATGAAGGCCAGACACAGTAGCCTAGTGGCTAAAGTCCTCACCTTGCACGCACCGGGATCCCATATGGGCGCCAGTTCTAATCCTGGAGGCTCCACTTTCCATCCAGCTCCCTGTTTGTGATCTTGGAAAGCAGTCCAAGATGACCCAAAGCCTGTGACCCTACACCAACGTGGGAGATCCGGAAGAGGCTCCTGGCTTCAGATCAGCTCAGCTCCGGCTGTCGTGGTCACTCAGGGAATGAAATCAGTGGACAGAAGATCTTCTTTGTCTTTATTTCTGTCTTTCCTCCTCTCTATATATCTGATTTTGCTATACAAATAAATAATACATCTTTATTAAAAATAATATTAAAATAAACACAGGCATAGAAATAGTGAATTAAGTCTCCATCTGTAGTGCTGGCTTTTCTTTAGGGTGCTAATTCATGTCCCAGCTGTTCCATTTTGGGATCTGGGTACTCGACTTCCGGTCCAGCTCCTTACTAATAACCTAGGAAAGCTGCAGAGGCTGGTCCTAGGCCTTGGGCCCCTGCACCCACATGGGAGTTCCAGTAGAAGGGTCTGACTCTTGACTTCAGATGGGCCCAGCTCTAGCCATTCCATCTGGGGAATGAACCAGCAGATGGAAGATTCCTTTCCTTTAAAAAAAAAAAGTATACAAGATCAGATTCACTGCTGCACAGTCATGCCTAACTTTTGAGTCACAAATCTTCACCCTAACTTAATTCTGTTAGCCTCCTGCTAATGCCCCCAGAAAAGCAGCAGCAAGTTACCCAAATGCTTGGGTGCTTGGGCAGAATGAAGTTTTAGACTTCTGGCTTCAGCCTGGCTCAGCTTCTGCCCTTGTGGCTGTTAGGGGAGTAAACCAGGAGATGAAACATCTCTTCTGGCTCAGCCCAATGGCTCAGTGGCTAAATCTTCGCCTTGCATGCACTGGGATCTCATATGGGTGCTGGTTCATGTCCTGGTTGCTCCACTTCCCATTCTGCTCCTTGCTTGTGGTCTAGGAAGGTAGTAGAGGATGGCCCAAAGCCTTTGGGCCCTTGCACCCACTTGGGAGACCTGAAGGAAGTTCCTGGCTCCGGGCTTTGGGTCAGCTCAGCTCTGGCCATTGCAGCCACTTGGGGAGTGAACCAGCAGATGGATCTTTTCTGTCTCGTCTCTGTAAATCTGACTTTCCAGTAAAAATAAATGCATCTTTATTATTATTATTATTATTATTTTCATTGGAAAGACGGATATACAGAGAGGAGAAGACAGAGAGGAAGATCTTCCATCCAATGATTCACTCCCCCAAGTGAGCCGCAATGGCCGATGCTATGCTGATCCGAAGCCAGGAGCCTCTTCTGGGTCTCCCACGCAGGTGCAGGGTCCCAAAGCTTTGGGCCGTCCTCGACTGCCCGGGCCATAGGCAGGGAGCTGGATGGGAAGTGGGGCTGCTGGGATTAGAACCGGCGCCCATATGGGATCCCGGGCGTGCAAGGCGAGGACCTTAACCACTTGCGCCTTTCAAATATCTTCTTGGGCCCAGCACGGTAGCCTAGCAGCTCTAGTCCTCGCCTTCCATGAGCCTGGATCCCATTTATGTGCCAGTTTGTGTCCTGGGAGCCTCACTTCCCATCCAGCTCTCAGTGGCTTGGGAAAGAGTTGAGGACGAGCCAAAACTTTGGGACCCTGCACCCCATGTGGCAGAGCCGGAAGAGGCTCCTGGCTGCTGACTTGAGATCGGCTCCACTCTGACCATTGTAGCCACTTCGGGAGTGATTCATTACATAGAAGATCTTCCTCTTTGTCTCTCCCCTTCTCTATATCTGACTTTCCAGTAAAAATAAAACTTTTTAAAAAAAGTTTCTCAAAAAATTTAAAGAAATCAAAGTATATGCAGAGATCATTGCCCATAGATACTAAGATGTGGCAGATGGGAGCAGAGGTTGTGGTACAGTGGGTTGAGACATCGTATGTGGTGTCTGCATTCCATACTGATGTGTCTGGGATTGAAACTCACATGTTTCTGATCCTACTTCCTGCTAATGTGCCCTGAAGGCAGCAGATGGTGACTTGAGTGCTTGGATTTCTGCCATCCACATCTGAGACCCAATGGAGTGCCCAGGTCCTGGCTCCAACCAGCCCTGTTCCTGGCAGTTAAGAGAGTGAGGGTCTCTTTCCTTTCCTCTGTTGCTCTACGTTTCAAGTGAATAAGTTTTATACCCTGTACCCAGCCTAAGAATGAAGGTATTTTCAGTATAGCTGATGCCCTCTAGGGCATGCCTCTGTGCTCCCACTGCCCCCCATCCACGTCACCACTCCCACCCCCCTCAGGGCATAAGCTGTGTCCTGCCGTCTCTGGATTGCTTTCTGCATTAGCTTCTCACTGCTGCTCCATGTACCTGTGCTCCCCATTTCACCACCCGCACCCCAGTATTTTTCACCGTCAGTCTAAAAGCAGCCTAAAAACAGAGTGCAGAGTGTTTATAGTTGAAGGAAGAACTCCAGAAAAGCCCTCCCTTGCTTTACAAGTGAAGGTCTCCTCTCCTTTTTCTCCATTTCCACCTCACATTGCTGGATTGCTGAGCTGAGAATTAACGGGCCGACTGAGCCACCAGTTTGTACACCAAGTACTTGTCTTGTGTCTAAAATGCACATTCCTTCCTATGGGGGCTTCACATCCCAGAGTTGGAAACTGAGGCAGGCCAATCCCCCAGACAAGAGGAAGCTGTCAAGGGGAAATCAGTTGCTAGTGGGTAAACAGCCTGGCCCCAGGGACTGAAGTTCTTATGGACAAAGCCTCCCAGTGTTGACCCAAGAAGTGAGAAAGAGCCAGCCACTGCTCACTCCCACATGCATGGTCAGCCCCTCAGGACTCCAGTTCTTGTGCCCCTTCCGAGCCTGGGGCTCAGCAAAGGCTGAGTTTCAGCTGTGGCTCAAGATGTTACAATGGCAAGTCAACCTGACTGTCCCAGAGGCTCGAGGTAGGGCTGCTCCTTGCTGTGCTTTGGGACCCTGTATTGGTAATAGGGGAACAGTTCAGTGGGGAAGTGGGACACAAGAATAAAGATCTAGGTAACGGCTGCCTCCAACTTCCTGTGTCTCAATTGATGTCTCAGCAGTTTCCTTCTCTGTGAGTCCGCAACCTTCAGGTGTCCTTTCCTGCCTACCTATTTCGGTCTCATTTATGCTATTGTTTGTGTGTTTTTTCCATGGTATGTAGTAGTTTGTACCTCTACCCTTTTAGGCCTAAAATGACTTGATTCCAGTTGTCGTTTGCCACTGTGGTAGAAACAGTCCTGGCCTCTAGGGAGTCAAGTCTCCTGGATTCTGATGCCTGGTTCTGCCTCCACCTTGGTATATAAACTGGGGCACGTCACATCACTTGTCAGTATCTGTTTGTCTCATAGGGCAAATGAGACTGGATTGTATGTGAAAGTACTTGGGGAAGGACAGAGTATGCGTCCGCAGTGCTTTAGGACAGACCTCCCAAAGCTTGCCTACTGACTGCAGCTGTACTAGCAGCTCACCTCTGAGCCTGTTTCCCCGTTTGTAAGATGGGACCAAATCCTACTTGAGAATTTGCATAAGGAGCAAGTATTTGGCATGGCAGGTCAGACACTGCTTGGGATACCTGCACTCCATATTGGGGTGCCTGGTTTGGACTCCATTCCTGATTCCAGCCACCTGCCATTAGGTGCCAAAAAAGGTGACAGGTGATGTTGACTCAAGTAATTTAGAGAATGAATCAACATAAGAGAGCATAAGAGATTTCTCTGCACCTTTCGAAAAAAGAATAAATGAGAAAAAAAATAATACAATTGATTGTGTGAGGGTACCTGATCTCATTTATTTAAAGCATCAAGTACAACATCTGTCCCATGGGAAACCCTCAGGAGATGAGTTTATACAAGTCTCTTGTTCTTCCTTTGTTCCATCACCAGGAGTGACTTACAGGCACACAACTTAGGCTGGAAAAAGGACACTTTCTCCCACAAGGAATCAACCAGCATTTTTTATATATGTATATGGATACTTTTTCCCATTTAATTTATAGGTTAGCAATCTGGAACTGTGAGCACATCTGAAAAAATATATATATATATTAGAAGTTGTTTGAACTATGAAAAATTTTCCTTTTAAAAAATTTGGGCAATGGCATTAAACATTCTTGCTGTCATCATGGATTTTGTTTGTTTGTTTGTTTGTTTGTTTCCTTCATATATCTGATGTAAAAGGGGATTTTTTAAAAATTTATCTATTTTTTAATAACATTGTATTATGTGACACAGTTTTATAGGTACTGGGATTCCCACCACCCCTCCCATAACCTTTCCCCCATGGTGGATTCCTCCACCTCGTTGCGTGACCACAGTTCAAATTCAGTTGAGATTCCTTCATTGCAAGCATTTACCAAGCATAGAGACCAGCATCTTTTTGTCCAGATAAGTTTAACGGCTTTTTGGGGAGACCTTCTCTGGTCTGTAAAAGGGGATTTTAAGGGAGAAACCCCACCCAGTCTCCCACCCACCCCAGGTCCCAGATGTGTGGCTTGCTCCGAGGGTCTTGATAGTTCAACAGTTATGAATTACTGCCAGTCTCGCTGCTCCAAGCACGATGAGGTCGTTGAAGAATCCACTGATTGACATAGTCCATCTTTTGCCCAGTCTCCGTTTGCCCAGTTTTTCACTGCCAACATATAGCTGAGGTGGTTGATTGACTTGTTCTGTCCTCTGTCTCTTCATGGTTAGGGATCTGAGTCCAGCAGATCGATTGGGGAGATCCCCAAAGAAACTTTGAGGTGTTCCCAGACCAGATTCTTATATGTATTAGCAAGTATAGGGCCCGCCACAGTCCAATACCCATATCAGCTGGTGGTTGTAATTGCTGGGTTGGTTCTGTTTCCAGCCCTGTCTTCCACTAGAACCAATGGGTGCTGCAGTCCAGCCTGGTTCTGCCCAACACATACTCGGCCCTCAAACAAACCAGTGTGGGCTGCAGGCTAGTCGGAGTGAACCAACATTTTCTAAGCTGCTAAATGCTTGTTGTACAATTGCTGTTAATTTTCTCAGTACTTGGGTGCTTCTTATAGGTAAAGGCTACAGAGAAGTTCAGTGACTTGACCCAGTCACACAGAGAGTAAGTAATAGAACTTGGGCTAAAACCCAAGCCTTGTGAGTCGACATTCTATGCTTTTTCCACCAGCTTTTACGTATCTAATCAGAAACAGAAGGAAATTGTGTGAACTAACCTTTTGCTTATTTCTTTCAAGTTAATGTGGGCGAGGACTGCCCGGTGTTTGATGGCCTGTTTGAGTTCTGCCAGCTGTCCACTGGTGGCTCTGTGGGTAAGGAACACATACCCTCCCCTAGGGCTGGGCTGGTCTGTCCTTCTGAGATCTGCTTTCTAGGCCACCCTCCTGGGGGGCTGAGTCTCCAGCATGGGACTGGCAGATGTCCTTGGCTGCCCTCTCCCACTAGCAGATCTTATGCAGAGAAATTCCCTGTGGACCTCGTGGGGGGCTGCTGAAATGCTGTACATAAAAGCAATTTGTGTACTGCAAAGTGCTATCCAACTGGAAGTGTCATTTTCCATGCCTGAGGAAAATGTGTGGAAGTTTCTTTCAGAGGTCAGGAATACCTCCTGGTCATCCCCCACATCCACCGTGACGTCCCGGTTACCATAGGATGGCTGGACACCCTTTCTTAAATATTAAGTAGCATCATTGTTGTATTCCCCTACCAGTTTCACCTTGGGAAAAAGTACTTGGTGGGGAAAAACCAGTCAATACTGTCCTTTGATGACCTCTTAGTGTCTCTGTCTGCTCTATTCAGTGATTATCTATCTGGACATAAAATGTATATGACGTATCAGGTGAGGGTACCTCAAGAATGTTGAGAGAATGAAATAAAATAAAAATTTTTTTTAATGTGCTTCTTTTGATACTAAAAAATTGGAAATGCATGTATAGGTTTTCATAATACACATTTTCCTGGCTTCTTGAAGACACCTGGTATGCACAGGTCAAAATAAATGTATCTTTCAATTCCATTTTCCAAGAGCTTTTTGAGGTACCCATGTCTATTATGGTTTTATGCCTGCATTTTTTCACTTGGGGAAGTTTTAGGAATATTCTGTCTGTAGGAATCTTTTCTAGTGGTTATAGATTATTGCATGTTATGACCCCACTCTATCTAGTTGGTACACTTTTAGAGTTAACAGTGCCAAAAATGTACTTGCATGCATGGACAAGTATTTCTGTCTCACTTCTTGTACCCACTTGTACTTTGAGAGCCTTATCTTTGGTATCTTTTCACATTTTTTGGGGACATGAAGCATAGTAAGAAACAAAGTTACCCATCATCCATGATATGAACACTCCTCGCCCCACACTCACACACTCTAACACACACACTCACTCTCCAGTAAGTTGCATGGAAGTACAGTTAATCTTTACTGTTATTTTAATATTTTAATCTGTTGCATTTAAAAATAAGTATACCAAGGGGGGGAGGGAACAAGAGACAAACAAAAAAATACGTATACCAATCATGACCCACTGAGTGGATTACCATCTTCAGTTTGGAAAATAGCTTTTGTAAGAGCAGCTAGTATCGTGGTAATTCACACAAGTCTCCCTCTCCTTAGGTTGCCTACGCTTACTGGGGAAAGGGGAAAATGGCTTGTAACAGGCTTATGTTCCTCCCTTCCCTCCCCCAGCAAGTGCTGTGAAACTTAATAAGCAGCAGACGGACATCGCCGTGAACTGGGCTGGGGGCCTGCACCATGCCAAGAAGTCCGAGGCATCTGGCTTCTGCTATGTCAATGACATCGTCTTGGCCATCCTGGAACTGCTAAAGTATGCCTACCTGGCCTTGTCCCTTGGAGGAGCACCTTAGGCCAGGTTCCCACTCCCTCTCCCCTGGGCTTGCCTCCCTAGTATGCTTTGCCTAGTGGGGTGTTGGCTAGGATGTGTTCTGTGTCTCTGGCCATCCTCTCCTTGGTGGGGTCTTGGTTTGATCTGAGCCCATGGCAAGATCAGGGCAGGCGCTGCTCAGATCCTGCCCACAGAGTGTCCCTGTGTGGCCGGAGTTGACCCTGGCTATAGAGTAGGAAGAACGGACTTGGTCGGCTTGGTCAGGCCTCTGGAGATACCCGGCCGCTCTTCCACCTTCCTTCAGCCAGTTTCCACGTCTCTGGTGCTTAGAGATACCTGAGGGAGGCAGCCAGCCCGGTAAGCTGGGACCTGGCGCCCTTGGCGCGTCCTATCCCCCAAGAGCCCCCAGACCCTTGACCCCCTTCTGATCCTAGGTATCACCAGAGGGTGCTGTATATTGACATTGATATTCACCACGGCGATGGCGTGGAAGAGGCCTTCTATACCACAGACCGGGTCATGACTGTGTCCTTTCATAAGTATGGAGAGTACTTCCCAGGAACTGGGGACCTACGGGTGAGAATTCTTTTTAGGGGCCAACCAGCTCACCCTCAGCTGCCAACTCTAACTTTCCTGTCCTTGTGTCACTAAAACTCACTTCCGCCTCTTTGCCATTTGGAGCACCCTTCACCAGGCTGGAGTGTCTCCTAAGGTCTCTCTCTCTCAGCCTCATTCTGGAGGGAAGGAAGGATGGGACATAGAGGGTCTCCTGACTTACTGTGCTGCCTTCGAGGACCCAGCTGGGTTTCCTTGTACTATGGGGCCCCAGAAGGCTGGAGTTTTATGCCAGGAATGGGGATTCTTGGGGACCATCTCAAGAGTTCTTAACCTTCTTAGGTTAGTTTCCCCTTTGGCCATCTGAATAAGATCCATGAACTCTTCCTAGAAGAGTATGTGAGATTTTATGTCTGCAGCAAAATAGTCATCACAAAGGCCATCCATGACCCTCAGGATAAGAATCCTGGGAAGCTGCTCCAATGATGTGTCTGTTAGCTTGACTACAGCGGACTCGGCTGCTTTGCCGTGAACAAGTGGCACTAATTCAATTGTTGGCTCCAGCCTGCTTTATAGTAAATGAACACTTGCTGTTTGGAAGCGTCTCTCTGCTGTCTGTCTTCCACACTTCCCTAGAGAGGAAAGAAGGGGGTAGAAGAACGAGTGGAGAGGCTCTTCGGAGGCCAGGGTTGTTGTGGGGAGGTGTGTTACTTCTGTGACCTGGCTGCCAGCCAGCTCTAGCCCAATGCAAAGGTGGACGTCTTGTGCTGTGGTGTAGAGTATACAGTCACAGGCTTCCTAAGCAGCTCTCAGCCTGGATACAAGCTTCGGGATGGAATCTGGACTTGCCAGTGAGGGAAAAGGCACTAACCCATGGGCCCTGCTTGGTCCTGGCCCACCTCCCAGGCCCAGCTTCTCTGCTAGAATCACTGCCTCTTTTCTCAGCCTTCCAGCCCCCAAGCCTACTTCTTCTTCAGCTTCATCTTTTAGTTTTACTTTAATGTCCTTTTCGATTAGGATATTGGGGCTGGAAAAGGCAAATATTACGCTGTTAATTACCCACTCCGGGACGGGATTGACGACGAGTCCTATGAGGCCATTTTCAAGCCGGTAAGTGGCTCTATCCACCTTTTGGCTTGGTTTAGGGGGATTGCAGAATATTCACACTATGCCCAGCAAATCCTGCCCACTAAAGCTGGGGGACCGTGAGGAGGGAGCTTGTAGTCAGTATTGTTTTTGCATCTCCGTTGCCTTGGGGTGAGCTCCCAGAAGTTATGGTGTTAGGTTCCTTGGCTTTTCATGTTTCTTATTACATGATGTTAATGCCTTCCCATTTGAAGAAGCGTAGGGACTTCTTGCAGTCTCCATGATCTGGCTTGGTGAGGGAAAGCCCCTTACCTGTGAGCCCGCCCAGAGATCCTAACAAGGCTAGTGTGAAGTTGCGCTGCCTAGGGAGTGAGCAGATAGGCTACTGGATTCATCTGGCTTCCTCCAGCAGCAGGTGAACTGCATGTGGTTCTGAGGGATGAACAGAGGAGTACTCCCCAAACTGCTACCCTGGAGGGGCAGTCAGGGCTGACCTCACAGAGATGAACTCTGCAGGCGAGCAGGTGCCCATGTGAAAAAGGAAGTGGAGGATGTGGGGGGTGGCATTCAGCAGAGTGGGAGCACTGGGTACAGCGAATGGTTTCCCATGTATGGCAGCATGGGAGATGTGGTGCCTGCAAGGAATGCTGTATGTTTGGGTCAGGGGAGCCTCTGATGTTTATAGTTACACAAGAAGAAATTGTTGGATTATCCTAAAAGGCCTGGAAGGTCTGGTAGTCATGCAGCAAAGGTCTGGTAGTTATGCCGACTTATGAAGGCATGGTGCTGGCACCAGATCCTAAAGCCTGGCCCCTGTCATCACTCAACCTACAGTCAAGTTAAGAGAAAGACAGAAATAAGTCACTTCCTCGCAAGCTCGGATGCAGGGTCTGTAGGCCCTAACGCAAAGAAGAAAGGAGGCTTTCTAGCAAAAGTGACACTGGAGCACGGATGGTGAGAGAAAAGAAAGGTGCAGGGAGCTGATGGTGAAGCTGTTCTGGTGATAGAACCAAGAAGGTTTTGTGGAGATCCCTTCACATTGGAAAACCACAATCCCAAATGTGGAAACAAGCGCTACCCCACGACATGAGAGGGCAGGAAGGCAGGAGAGCCAGATAGGGAACATAAGTGCATGCTACACTCAGTTCCCTCACCTCAGTGACCAGAATGTGTCCTTGTAGGTCATGTCCAAAGTAATGGAGATGTTCCAGCCCAGCGCGGTGGTCTTACAGTGTGGCTCTGACTCGCTTTCTGGGGACCGGCTGGGCTGCTTCAACCTGACCATCAAAGGTGAGAGCAGGCAGCAAGAGGCGGGCGGGCAGTGGCCTGCTATATGTTCCTCCTGTAGCTCAGCACTGCTTCTCCCACCAAAGGGCACGCCAAGTGTGTGGAGTTTGTCAAGAGCTTCAACCTGCCCATGCTGATGCTGGGAGGAGGTGGTTACACCATTCGTAACGTCGCCCGGTGCTGGACATATGAAACAGCGGTGGCTCTGGACACGGAGATCCCTAATGGTAATGGCTCCAGGGCCAAGGAGGGCGGGGTGGGAGCTGCAGCACCTGTGGCCTCCAGTTCTCCTTCCACGCTTTTCTATTGGTCACTCCACCTCTACTCTCTTGTCTCCTGTGACCGACAGATTCAGCGTCATCAGCTTTTTCCCAGTTACTTTTGAATCCGTCCTCTCTTTATACAGCTTTTGGCTCATATAGAATTTTCAGTGGTTCAGTAGAATTTCCACTCTCCAGGCTCAGTGGGACAGTTTGTGAAGAGAGTACTAAAGTGTCCCATTGAGCCTGCTCCTCCTAATGACCTGTTCACCACTGCTGTGGATACCATCTCTAGCTTCTGTCGGTCTGGGAGGCCTTCCTGTGTTTGACTGAGGATGAGCAGGCCCAGGGGAACCCACAAATGGCTTTTCCCAGGATGCTGCATGACCAGGTTGCTTGACTGCCTTCTCCGTTTCCCCAACCAGAGCTTCCCTATAATGACTACTTCGAATACTTTGGACCTGACTTTAAGCTTCACATCAGTCCTTCCAATATGACCAACCAGAACACGAACGAGTACCTGGAAAAAATCAAGTGAGTCAGTCCCCTCAGCCACCCTTGGAGTGTGCCAGCTGCTGGGCTGTCCCCAGCCAGAGCCCAGCCCCACCTTTTCCCCTTGGCTATAGACAGCGGCTGTTTGAGAACCTGAGGATGCTTCCCCATGCTCCTGGGGTCCAGATGCAAGCGATCCCTGAAGACGCCATCCCAGAGGAAAGTGGTGATGAGGACGAAGAGGACCCTGACAAGCGCATCTCGAGTAAGAGCCCCTGGCCTCTGTCTTGCCGCCTAATCAGCAGCTCTGCCACCCTCCCCCACCATCCTGATCTTGAGTTCCCTGCCCGTGGGGAACCCTAAGTTTCAATTAAGAGTTCCTGTAGGAGCAGCAGATGAGGCAGTCTGAACCCACTGCCTGTCCTTCTCAGCCTCGGTTCTCCTAGAGGACACATGGGGAGCACTAGGTGAGTTCCTGAGCTAGGACCTGCTCTGACCCATGCCTTCCATCCATTGCCTTCCAGTTTGTTCCTCTGACAAACGTATCGCCTGCGAGGAAGAGTTCTCCGACTCTGAGGATGAGGGAGAGGGTGGCCGCAAGAACTCCTCCAACTTCAAGAAGGCCAAAAGAGTCAAAACAGAAGATGACAAAGAGAAAGAACCAGAAGAGAAGAAAGGTGGGTGTGGGATTCCCCCTCCGCACTCCCGGGTCTCCCTGAGGCGGCAGGGTCCATGAAAACGGCAAAACTATCAGCTCTCGCATACCACCCTTTTGCTAACACTTCACCCCAGTTTCCCAGGGGGCTCCCTCCACCCACCAGGTTGGGGCTCAGGCAGGCTGGAAAACCGGTCCAACCTGTCTGTTGGCAGCTGGACTCCTGGGAGGACCCGAGATGGGCTTTGCTCTTTTTCTCTGTCCATCAAGCTGTGTAGAGGGAAGGAAGAGGCTTGGAGTGAGTAAAGAACTAGTGGGACTCTCCAGATGGGCTACCCTTAGCCATCCCTGCTCTCTTTTATGTTCTAGAAGTCACGGAAGAAGAGAAAACCAAGGAGGAAAAGCCAGAAGCCAAAGGGTGAGGAAGGAGCTGTCTGCCATCTCCCTGGCATTAGTGCCTCAGCCCCTGGGTCCCACTGCTCCGAGAGAAGGCGCAGGGACAGCTGGTCCAGCTTACAAAGGCCTCTTTCAGGGGCCAGTCTGTCTGTCTCTGCAGTTGGAGGCAGAGCTAAGAAGCCCCAGCCCGCAGCAGTCACCTGGGTAACCCCGGGCCTGAGGAAGTCATTGTATCCAGCCTTTTGCCTGCAGGCCTCTGGGTGGGTTATCTCATGCCAGTCTCTGCTTTCTCCACAGGGTCAAAGAGGAGGTCAAGTTGGCCTGAGTGCAGCTTTCCAGGTCTGGCTTCTGGCCAGCTTCCCCACCTCTCTCCCTCAACTTCCCCAACCACCCCACCTCCCCACACCAGATTTTATATTTTCTATTCCTGTGTATTTATATAAAAATATATTAAAAATAAATATCCCAAGGACTAGATAAGAACCAGGGCCCCAAGGCCAGGGCAGCCAAGCTGGTTACACTCTTGTAGCAGCTGCCTTGCCAGCCACCTCTCCCCAGTTCATTTTTTTAAGCCATGAAGGGTGCCAGGCCTGGGTAGAGGGATGCTCTTCTGTAGCAACAAAACACCAGAAATGCCAAGGTGTGTGCCCAGCAGGTGTGGAAAGGGCTCCCACTGGGCACTAGAGGAGGGTAGAGGGTAGAGGTGGCCGGGTCCTCAGGGAAGCCCCATTCTTTTCAGGCTCCTAAGGTAACATTAGATACGTTTTAGGTGGTTCTCTTCTAGTACCTTCCCTGTGGCCTCAGGTGAGCCAAGAAACTTGCACACCCTGCCCTCAGTCTTTCCCCAATTCTGCAGGTGGAGGTTGGCAGGCTAGCTTCCTTTTGAGATCCTATTTTCATTTTTGTGAGACTTTGTAATAAAACTGGTACCTTTCTCTACCCACCCAAGCCTCTGTCTCCTGGCAGTATACCTGCACTGACCTCAGCTCTCCAATTCCCTGCCCTGTGGGGTCCAAGCAGCCCCCTCAGCATGAGAGCCATCATACTTACCTGTCTTCTAATTTGCATTTGGTTGACTGAGTTCCCCTACTCCGAGAAGACCAAAAATTCAAGCACCACTAAAGGGACAACATTTATTCCTTCTCCAAAGGTTACAGTAAAACCAGGTGGAAGAGAATGGTTTTAGCAATTAGAAAAAAAAAAGTACAAATCTGGGGTTTGGCCATTAAAAGTTATTTACAACAATGGGAGAAAAAAGACAACAAGAAGTTGTTTCACATTACAGACCTCCCCCCCACCCCAAAGCCTAATACTTGCTTACCAAGTCAAAAAAGGGACACAGGTGATTCACAAGCTGGAGGGTGGAACTTGAGTAAGACATTTATAAAAACCCAGACAGGGGCAATGTCCTCCCCGGCCCAGGTGCCACTAGGCACAGCACAAGAGACTAAAAACTCAACAGGGGGAAGGTTGGACACTCAAGGTTTGGGAGTGTAAGCACCCCTCTTCTGGCTCAGGGATTTGGGGAGCAAGGTGAACAAAACCTACTTGGAAAAGAACTGAGGGAGAAAACCAGCAATTGCCTTCTGCAGGGAGGTGGGGGGCAGGGAGTCAAGGAAGGGGCCGGGACCAGGAGCATTTCACATCACTAACCTAACTTGGGAGAATGAAAGGGACCATCTTCAACTGGCCTTCAGAGGGAGACCAGATGGCCAATGGGGGACTCCACAAGAGGGAGAGGAGAGGGAAGTGGTTGGGAGGGGGCAGGAGCCCCTCCTTTCTGGGCACAGGAAGGCAGCCAGGGCACAGGGGCCAGGCAGTGACCTCACAAGGACAGCACAGTTTTTTGTAGCTCAGGAGATCACCCACCTGCCCCCACCCAGCTACTCATTCTGCTCGGCGCTGGCCGCTGTCGGGCCACTCTCCGGCCCGGAGGGAGTGGACGCCTCTGCCACTGCTGCCGGGGGCGCTGCCTCCTCTTCCGTGTCTCCTCCCTCGCAGGCAGCGCTGGCCTCAGCCCCCTGTGCCTGGGGCTCCTGGCTCTCCGCGGTGGGGGTGGCGGCGGCCTTTCCTTCCTGGGCAGTGCCCTCATCACTGCAGGCCCCGATTTCGCCCTGCTCCTGGTCTTCCTCGGTGGGCGAGGAGGCCGAAGAGTCGCCCCCACCCTCCTTCCGATTTCTCTTGAAGGACAGACCGCTCAATTTGAAAGGCTTCTTGAAAGAGAATTTCTTTTTCTTCTTGGGGGTTTCCTTCGGGGGGGCTTCTCCCTTGGCCTCAGCACCCTGGCTAGGGGGTGCCGGCTCGATGGCATCACCAGTGGCCCCTGCTGCCTCATCTGTTCCATTCACGGGGGGCGACTCCCCTTCCCCCTTGGGGGTTAAGTCTCCATTGCTTTTCACGTGGCCATTCTCCTGCAGGGCAGAGGATACAGGATGAGGGCCAGGGCTCTTCTTCCCTTCCCCAGGCCGCTCCAGGCTCCTTCCAGACCACCGGGCCTCCAAAGCTTTGGCCTCACCCCAACGCCCAAGGAGGCCCTCTAAAACATCTCCCTCTGCCCCTCGGGCGCGCAGGGACTGGGCACACAGAGGCCATGGCCGGCAGGAGGCGCTGGGATCCCGGGGGGCCCCCTATACCCCTCCCCCGGGGCGCGCTCTCTAGTCCGCGAGGAACCGCTCCTCCGGGCCGCGGATCCCGGGCGTGCGAGTGAATCGTGCCAGGCAATATTGGGCGGGAAGCCGCCCCGGGGCGCTGTCTCGCAGCACCTAGACGGCCTGTTTTCCCAGCCTTCTGCTTTGTGGAAATGGTCCTCCACCCACCCCCAAGCTTTCCCCACATCGTGGCTCCCCCTCTAGAAGACCGCTTCCGAGGTCGGATCTGGGGGTGGCGCGCCCTCCCCGCCGGGCACTCGCCCCGCGGCCCCCGGGCGCCCCCTCGGCACGGCCCGGCAGCGCCTTTGTTCCCCGCGCGGCCCTCGGGACGGCTGGGGGCAGCGCCGGGGGCCGGGACCGCGAACAAAGAAGGCGGCGGGGCCCGGCCGGCGCCCCCTCCCCGCCCCTCCCCTTGCTTCGCCCGCGGGGGCTGCGGCGCAGAGAACAAAGGGACGGGGCGGGGGAGGGGGCGCCGCGTGTCCCGGGCCGGACAAAGCGCGCGGCCCCGGCCCAAGGCCCTAAAGGGGCGCGGCGCAAAGAGGAGGGGGCCGGAGCCGGTCGCGCCGAGCGCACCCACCTGTCCGTTGGCCTTCGCAGGGGAAGCGCCTGCTGCCTCCTCGGCGGTCACGTCGCCCCGGGGAGCCTTGGAGCTCTGGCTGCCCATGATGGGGGGGTGGTCTGTTGGGGGCGCCCGGAGCCGCCCCGGCTCGCGCCGCAAGGGATACTTCGGTGGGGTCGGGGCGGCCCGCAGAGGGGTGGGGCTGGCGCCGGAGGGGGAGGGGTGTGTGGGGGGGAACCAAGCTGCACGCCCCGCTCCGCGTCCGGCCCGCTTACTACGCCCGCCACCGCTCCGCTCCGCGCCAGAATGCCGCCCGCCGCCCGCCGAGCCGCTTATATATACGCTCCCGGAGCTCGGGGCGGGGCCGGACATTTAAATGAGCGCCCAATCGAGGGGCGAAGGCGGGGTCGGGTCGTGGGCCCCACTTGCGCAGTGGGCGACGCCGGCGGTCTCGTTTCCCCCACCCTCTCAACCCCGATTTCCCGGGGCGGGTAGGGTCCAGTGTGGGGAGGACAGAGGCCAGTCCTCCCACGGGCTGGACGGGGAGGGACGTCCCTCCCCCTTCTCTCCTCACCGCGCCCCTTCTCAGGGTGGGCGCTCCCTCTTCCACGGCCGGGCCCGTGGCCTGGCCTCCATTGCCTTCGTCCAGCCCCTGCCAGCCTCTGCTAGCCTCCTGCTTGAACTCTTCGAAGGCTCACATGCCCAGACTCGCCCAAGGCTGGTCTCGATCCCTGCTGCAGAAAATGTGCTGCTAGCGGCAGCAGGGCCTGGCAGGGCCAGGTTGGTCTGAGGTGCCGCCAGTGTCCCTGCCGACCTCAGGGGTTCTGACCCACTGCAAGTCCGTGCCTCATCGCTGGTCACTGGCAGCCCCTCCGTGGCCAGCAACCCCTCCTGCCCTCAGTCTAGACCACCACCAAGGCCCAGGTCCCCCTTCTGTGGGGACCCCGCAGGGCAGGCCTGAGCCTCAGCCACACTCAGGGTGACATAACCCACTTGTGGATTCTGCAGCTTCCCCCCCAGGGCTCCCCCCACATGCAGAGGCATCCCAGGGAGGCATTCAGTGAACCCCAATCCCTCCAGTTTCAGGAAGGGAAGGATAAGATGCCATGGGGGTCCCACCCCTGGAGGGGTGAGGATGGGGATGAGGGACCCCCAGCTCTTCTCTCGTGCCCTTTCTCCTTCCTCCAGCTCAAAGGGCTTGGGGGAACCCCAGGGTCCTGCCTACTGCCTGCCGGATGCTCACCCCTGAGGAAAGCACTGGGGCCTGGAGGAAGTCAGCTGTTGCAAAGCAAGCCCGAGTCCAGCCAGTTCAGTACCTCCTCCCTCCCTCCTCATTATAATGCTGCGTGGGAGGCCTGAGGCACTGGGGGGGCAGGGCATAGAGAAATTATGAACTTCCCACTGAGAAGGCCACGCCACTCTGTCCTCAAGTACCCTCCACCCCTACCCCATCCTATCTTTCTACTCTGACACTATGCTTCAGCAGCCACCTCACCCCATTCCAGCTTACAGATGAGGTTCAGCAAGAGAAAGTGACTTGCCCAAGGGCACAAAGCAGCTACCCAGAGCTGAGGGAGGGTGTGGGGAGATCTAGGCCAAGGCTGGAAAAAACTCCCCGGGACAGGTTTCCTAGTGCCATGGGGAACTGCCTGGCCAGTGGGAGAGGCCAGAAGAGCTGGCTCTGGGCCCTCTTGCAGCTCCAAGATGGGACAGCAACTCCTCCACGGGAAGGCACTGGGGGGATGGCCTTCATGACCTGCTCTCTGTCTTGGCCACAATAGGGAGTTGACAATGCTGCCAGGCACTGCCTGCACCGGCTTGGCAGGGCTCAGGCGGAGGAGGTTGGGGTTGGAGGTCAAGATCAGGTCCCAAGGCCCCAACTCCTCAGGATGAGATGCAAATCTGAGGCACCCAGAGGAGGCAGGGGCATGAAGGCTGAGTCCCCACAAGCCCCAGAGGGAGCCAAGGGCACCGGGGAGTCTCCGTTTTCCCCCACAACCTCCTTCCCTAGGCTTCTCAGGAGGCTGGGGAGGGGGCGCCTGGGAGCTCAATCCCTTGACAGATGCAGGTCTCAGCACAAGCTGCCTTCTGCAAGAAAGAAAGGTTCAGGATGCTGTTGTGGGGTGTGGGGCAACAACAGTCCACCCTGGCTCCTTCCTCCCCAGCTGCTGCCAAGCCAGACAATACGCCCATTGTTCTGCCGCGAGCCCGTGTGTGGTTGTGTGAGCCTGCTTCTCAATGTGCCTGTCAGTGTGTGAGACTGGTGTCTGCATGTGTGTGCCCAGGTGTGTCCACTGAGGGTTGTATGTGTCTGCATCCCTTTTGGTTTCAGTACTCAAGGCTGAGTGAGAGAGACAGAGAGAGTGCTGTAGTGACTCCTGATGACTCGAACTTCCTGGGTGTGTACCTGTCTTAGCTCACACGGTACCTTGGTGACTGCATGTGGCTGCGACTGGAAATGTGGAACTGGGCCAGGGTCTGTGTGTGCCTGAGTGGGTCATGGAGGTTGTGATACTTGAACCTTTCAGGTGTGGAGTGGAGGTGTGGTTCCCCCCCACTGCCCTGCCCCGGACAGTGCCAGAGAAAGGAAAGAGAGGAAGGAGGGTAAGGTGGTTCTGGAAGAAGGAAAGCTGCAGGAAGCCGAGATGATGCATTTACATGTTGTCTAGTCACACGGGGGACAGTGAGATGACAGCAAGACGTGGCTGGGTCCTGGTAATGGGGACGCTGGCCCAG